CAGAACAGGAGCGGTGGGAAAAGAGGGGGCAGCTATGCAAGCAGAATGTCCTTAAGAGAACGTGAGTGTCAGGAGGCAGGCTGGGCAGAGGTGAAGGGGCTGAGGCCTGGAGCAGACCAGGCCACACAGACCCACTCAGGGGACAGGCAAACTCCCTGCTGCGAGGGGCAGGGGCAAGGCCAAGCCCCGGGGAGCCCAGCACCCAGAACACTCTTGAGGGGTTGGCCATTCAACGCTGCTGACAGGGACGCTGAGAATCAGAAGCGTCCCATAAGCACAGCAGCGCTCTCAGGCAGTAGAACATCTGGGTGGATGCAAGGGGTGAAGATCAACATCAAATATCAAAAAGACTTTGGCATTTTGAGATACCACAGTTCCTGAGACAATCATTCGTGCCCTAAGGGAGTTGAAAATATATGGGTTCGGTCTCAAGGCAGGCTCAGCCCTACCAGAGGAGAGAGCCGGGTGGAGAGGGGAGCGGGCAGCAGAGTGGCCGATGGCGGCGTCTCTCGGGGGGAGCCCTGGGCGGTTTCCGCTGAGTCTGCTTATGACAAACCCGGAATCAAGTGCTTTTCTTTCTCCTGCCATCAGAGACTCCAAAAGACAAAAATCTGGAGGACTGTGCAAGAAAAAGTAAATGGTTCAGAAGGCAGAGAGAGTAAAAGGAGGGAAGGCACTAGAATCCAGCAAAAGAGGCTGGCCCTCTGTGTGTTGAAGAAAAGGGGTGAAGCCAAAGTCAGGAGCCAGCTTAGCGTCACTGCTAGGGGCTCTGGGGCCTCCCTGAAGCCACCACCCAACAGCAGCCCAAGGAGGTACGCAGTGGGGACAGATTCTTGCCCACTGGAAACATGCTGCAGACACCAATGACCCCCAAGGCCGGGGGCGTCCCGAACGGCGGCCGGCGAGTTCCTGAGAGCCAATAGGCCACAGCGGCTGCTCCCCGACTCTTAGTCCGGCAACCGGCTCCAGGCATGATGCGCCCGCACAGGGAGAGCTCAGACTTAAGACACCATGTCACTAGGCGGGGCTCAGCACTGGATGCCCCAAGGAAACGGAAATTATGAGATTTCAAATATACAAATATATTGTGTGGGGAAGTTGGGGTTCCTCTGGCCAGGATCCTCACTGAACTTAAACCACCTGATGATGTAACTGGCCTGTTGCTGGGCTGCCGCTTCCACACCTTTAGGCAATAAGTTATTGCTGCGCTATATGGAGAGCTCGGCCCGGTGCTCTGCGTGGAGGTGAGCTAGTGCTTGACCTGCCGCCGGGAGAACAAGCTGGGTAATAAACCCTTTCTCCCCAAAGAACGTTTTGCTGTCAATTTCTTTGGTCACATTGAATCCATAGCGAACTTGCCCGGGACTGAAACCCATTGGCAAGACATACTAGGAGAAAAAAGCTATCATAAATGAGACCAAATAACTGGGCCGACCCCAGAGCAAGTGATGACTGCTGGCGAGAAGGCAGGAGAAGGCACAGGTGGGCTCAGAGAGAAGGAATGCAGTCGCTCCCTGCCACCCCCCAACATGGTTGAGTGGGCTAAAGTTGGCGTGGGGCTGTCCCCCTCTTCCCTGTCCGTGCTCCTTCCATCAGCTGCCAGCGCATTTCTGCGGGGGTCTTGTGGCAGCAGGAAGAGAGGCCTACATGGGACCAAGTGCTAGATTTTAGGGACATGCAACAGCCTGGAGGCTGCCCTAGGATTCCCCTGTGGTAGGCGGCGCTATGAGGCTTCATCCAATAACTGGATCTTACAGCACAGCCGTGACAAGCTGGTTAGCATGCTGAGATGTGGGGAAGGCCCCTGCTCCAGCAGTGCCCAGCCCTCCCATGGCTGCCAGGTGGGCAGGTGGGCATGGAGCCTTGGGGAGGAGGTTAATGCCGCTGGACTTCGACCACAGCTGGGCATTGTAAATGCTTTGGGCTGTAATCCTCTGACCTTAGGACTTCAGGTTTTATTTCTTTGAACTATAACCTAAAAGGGCAAGAGATTTAGTGTTTTGATTTGAGAAAATTCATGCCAAGAGAGAGCATTTCTATGTTGATTTTTTATTGGTGTACGTTTGTCATTTTATCTCTGCAGAACTTCTGAGCCAAATGTGGACTTTGAGGTTGCACCTAATTTAGGATGGGAAAGAGTAGGAAGAGATTTCCTAGTTCCGATCCAGTGTTTCCTTGGGGTTCAGTAACACCGGGTTCTGATCCACCCCAAGGCCTTGGTGGGGGAATCGAAACCACTCTCAGGGCCCCAAACAGGACAGTATGGAATGGCTCACGGCCTGGGCTCCCCCTCTCCAGGGAAGTCTTTCACTCCCCACCCTGCCCCACTGGCCACCCTGGTCCACAAGCAGCAGGGATACCCTTGACCCAAGTGAGAGTTTGGGAAAGCAGGCAGACAGGTTCAGTTCAGCTCTCTGAGTGCCATGGGGATGTCAGTGGCTCCTGGCCTTGCGGGTCCCCACAGTGCTTTGGTGCTGTGAGCTGATGCTTGAATAATCCCCAAGTCACACGTGGAGGAACTTGTCACCTACACTGCAGCAAAGGCTGAAGGAGGTGACCGTGTTAAAGTTGACAGCATGGCAAGAGGGATGGGGTCAAAGCAATTGATGGGGTCCAGATAGCTGCAGCTCCAAGGCCATTCCAGCTGGTGACACAACTGTCTCTAACAGATCCCAGCTAGGGCTCCTCCCTCAATGCAGGGGGCTTCCTTTGGAGCCAGAAGTGCTTTGATTTACATGGTTTCATTCATTAGGCCATCTTAGCTCTACTTAAGCAGGAAAGCTGCAATGACTTGCCCAAGATCACTCAGCTAGTGACAGATTCAGGTTTCAGATGCAGCTCTCTGGACTTAGAGCAGGACCAGGGAGAATGAGGGCAAACAGACTGGCAGCTGATCAAGCCAACCCGGCCCTCCTTGGAAAGGAGACAGGAGAACATGACAGCAGCAGGCCATGGCCCAAGCGGCTTGGCTCCAGCCCCTTCTTTCCCCAGTGGCTCCCAGACCATGAGGTTTGCATTTGAGGACCCCACACCTTTAAAAGCATTCTCAGTGCCTCACTAAGTCAGTGTAACAACCTTAGGAGGCAGGGCTATGATTGTTTTATAGACGACAGCTCAGAAATCTTCGGGAACTTAGTAACTTCCCTATTGGGATGTTCCCTGGCATTATCACCTGTAACATGCCCTACAGGTGAAGGGGCCTTTCACCGAATGTCAGAAGGTTCTATAAGGAAAAGACCCTAGGGAGTTGGGCTGAGACCCCAAGTAGCCTTAGCAAAGGATGAACAAAGATGAACAAGATAGGGTATGTGTGTGAGGGGTCAAACGCAAGAAGTGGGTAGGCTGTGAAGTCTATTAACAAGGGTTACTGAGAGGTCTTCTGACGCCCAAGTCTTACGGTCCTTCACACCCAGAAGCCCTGAAATGGGACTGCAGTGCTCAGGATAGACTTCTCCTGAAAGCAGGGTCTAGTTCTCCCCAGGGTGGGCCCCTTTGGTATTCTCTCCCTCACCACCCATTGGCATCCCTGCCTTGCATGGCACTGCCCATCTGTTCCTCTTTCCCCTCCTTAACCAGGACGTGAGTCTTCCAAAGGTAAGGGTAAGTCTCAGGCGGGTGAAGAGGGACCTTCAGGCACAAGAGCTGCGAGCAGACTTCCAACCACACGAGACAGCAACCTCTGAGGTCCCTTCCTGCTCCAGAACGGATTCAGATCAGAACTTGTTTCAGATAGGCTGACCGCCCCGTCTGATCCTCCTGTCCCTACCCTATCTTGTACATAAAAAAGGCAGACTTTCCAAAAATCAGCAGGGGCTCAATGATTTGTTTATAAGGCTGGGGAATGACGTCATAGACGGCTCTGCCGGGAGGCCGCCCCGGTTCTCAGCTTCTTCCATCTCCCTTTTCCTAAGTCAGCCTTCTTCGCACACTCCTGTCCAACCCACTCCTCTCCTCCTGGGACCCGGCAGCCCCTTCCTGCCCGAACGGGGACCCCCCACTCAAGGCCCGCGGTGCGTGCTCCCCTCGCCCGGCGGGCACTGCCAGAGGCTCCGCCTCTTCACCCCCGCCCAGGATCGTAAACGGTCTCCAACGGCCTGGGGCCCCCAGCCCCGCCCTTCCCCGGCGCTCCCCGCGCTCCCCGCTCCGGGTCTCCCGCCCTCTCCCTCCAGCTCCGGCAGCCGCCCGGCAGCAACCGCAGCCCCGGCGCGCTCGGAGGCCTCGGGCGCGGGGGCCGCTGGGAGCACGCGGGCGTAACTGCCCCGCGCGCGCCGCACAGCCGGTAGCCGAGGCAACCCGCCCACTGACCCTCGCTCCTCCCAGCAGGCTCCGCGCGAGTGGGCGGAAGCAGGCCGGGGGCGGGGCCGGCGGGGCTTGGTTACCCGGCAGCCCCCGGGCCCCCCCCCGGGCCCCGTCCCCGCCCCTTGGGCCGGGTGTGCAAAGTGAGGTGTGCTGGAGACCCGGGGTCCGGTGTGCGGACCTTTTTGCTAGTATGGTGTTTCTAATTTGTTCTTAAGAATAATGTATCGGTACTTGTGGATCCCCCACTCGGGTCTGGCTTTAGTGAAGCCTCCATGGAGGGAACCACGCTTGGCAGTCTTTACAGTTGTGTGTTTACAGTTGAAGGAGTTCAGAACACTACTCCAAAATACGTCGCTTGAAAACAGCAAATGCAAGGAAAACACTCTGTCCTTTCTCTTAAAAGCATGAGATGAGATTCCCATGTGAAAGAAGTCCTTCCTATGATAAGGAAAATACTCAACACAGCCGTCAAGGTCAGTAAGCCGCTTTTTTCCTCCGGTTGGTAAAGTCAGCAGAGCACCCCCAGCCCCCTCCTCCCCTCCTCCGGGCCCCTCCTTTGCCCTGCGCGTGCCGAAATGCCACATATCAAAATAATATAAATTGCTCCCCTTGCTTGTGCTCAGGGCTCAGGCCTTGGGAGATGACTCCCCTCTGAGCCCGCCGGTGTAAAATAAACCTCAGCACCCCAAGACCTCCGAGTGCCGCTTCGTTCTTCCGTCAGTGATCCAGTTCAGGTTTTCCAGTATTTTCTGTAACACCTACACTGGAGAGAAAGTAACATTCTTAGAAAGGAGAAGACCAGAGAATTCTGTACAGATTTTGGTTAAAATGTCTTAACCTCCCTAAATAGCTTACTTTTCAACAGTCGTTTTTCTTTGTTCAACCTTCTTGAAAAGCATGTAAACTTTGCCATTTCTTCGTGTCTTCATTCCTTATGAAGTGTACCATGTCACGTAATGTATTAATTACATTTGTAAGTACAATAATTGCATGTATTAATCATTTGTATGCTTTTCTCCAGTTGATCTGACTTATGTCAATTTAATTCTCAGGCTCAGCTGGAAAAAAAACCTAAAAGGGTACTGGGAGAGAATAAATTTCTTTTGGTTAAGCCATAATTCGTTGTACTTTGTTACAGCAGCCCTAGGAGTCTAATACATTGTGTTTCCTGAATGTGAGAGTTCATGTCTTTCATTTATTTTCAAAATTCTCAGCCTCCATATTGAACAAAATAGAACTTCTAGAAATAAAAAACAATAGAACAAGGAAGGACAGCTAGAAATAAAATAAATCATAATAAAACTAGCTGAAGAGAGAATTAATGAACTAAAAGACAGATCTGATGAAGTTACCCAGAATGTAGCAGAGGGAAAAAATTAAAATCCTGAAAGAGAAGTTAAGAGACAGGAGCATATAAAAGGTCTTAACATATGCCTAATAAGTCCACCAGGAGAAAAAGTGCTGTCAACCTGGGACCACAGGAAGTTAATTTGTTACCTTGGGAGTTAATTGTTCCTTGTCACAGAAAGTTAATTCGTTCACATAGTATGCAATAAAACCCTAAACCCATGAGGGCAGGCTTGGTTACAGGGCCTCAGGAGTAATTTGTTTGCTTCCACTAGAAGCCTAGGCAAAGACATACAGTTTCCTTGTCATCTATGTGTGCCAGTTGGCAGGTTCCTGGGGCCTGAGCTCTGTGTGGGTTTTAAACCACACCCCGCCACATGGTGCAGGCCCTAAGGTTCTAGCTCACAGGGGACAGGTACCCCCAGGGCACTTGGAGCTGCAGTCTCTCCACTCCCAAACAGACACCACTGGTTTTCAGCCCCCTCTTCATTTTCATTCCGAGAGTTCCCTTATGTCTTAGGAACTCAGCTATGCCTTTTAAAGTATGTTTGTCCTACTGCACCCCACGTTTCAAGGTGATTTACAGCCCCGGGACTTTTCAGCCTCCCCACTCCCTTCAATGCCGCTGTGTATTATTTAAAGACTCCCTTGTGTGGTCGCACTGGATTCCCTCTGACTTTCCCCATCAGCTCTAAGATTCTAGGACTCTTGGTCAAAATGCCCTTTCAGGGCCTCCTGTGCCCCAGAGCCCTTCCTCCAGGAAGCATTCTGGGCCGTTTCTGTCAGATCTCCTCAGATGGGGGATGAACACACCCTCCTGGGCAGAGCTGAGTGTTTTCAAAGAGGACCCTGTAAAATAGCGATGCACCTGTTACTACCCAGGGAATTGCCCTCTTCATTACAACTCCCCCCAGCCTAGAGGGCTGTGGAGCACCCCGGAATTGGCAGTAAATATTTGGGGAATTTAGCTTATCCCTAAAGAGTGACCCCTCTGTGGGGGGACTTCAGACACTTGTGGTCAGGCAAGTTGGAGGAAAAAGAGCCACAGTCACCAGCCCAAATAAACAAATGCACCTGTGTGCCCTCTCACGTGCTCAGGCAACACTGCCACGCACACACAGACGCTCCAAAATACACACACGTGTCTGCTCACACATTCACGCGTACACACACATTGTTTTGAAATGTACCCGGGATTTGTCTTCATCAGGTGGGATGAGACACTCAGATGTGGAAATGACTGTCAGGAAGGAAAAGGTTTGGTACCCTCTCCCTGTCCTCCATAGGCAGGAGGCAGAAATGGGATTTGCGGGAACAACCCCAACTCGCAAAACTATTTTCTAAATAGATTTGAAAAGGCAGGGTGGAGGAGGGGTGTGATACATTGGTGGTGCCTGAGTGGCTATGGAGTCACGTGTGGTGTGAAGCAGCCCTGAGCTGCTGTGCGTGGTGAGGGGCGAATGATGCCTGTGGAATGTGAAAGTGGAGCTCTCGTCCCAGAAGAGTGTGTGGCTGCTGCACGGATCCACTGTGGCTATTGCACCTAGATCGCTGGTAAAATTGGTGCAAAGTGGCACACATTTTAATTTTGTAAATGCCAGCAGGATTACCCCAATCAGGAAAAGCTGCCAAGAAAAAGCATTCGTGGAACACAACTTGCTTGCTTTTTGCTGGGAACCCAGCTGAAACTGAGTTCTTTGAGTATTATTGATAACAAGGCTCCGATAGCTGATGAGTTTTGCTCATTGGAGCCTCCGGACAAAGGAAGATGACACAGGAAAGAAAGGCAATCTCTAAATGAACACACAAAAGAAAGTGTTGGTTTGCTTACAAATTCTTGGTGAAATCAGATGTCTGATCCTTTTAGGCTGGTGGTTTTCTGGTCGATGAGCATATTTTTGAGGGGGTCGATTTGGATTCTCGGACTAGGTTGATGAACACTCAGGAAAACGTCGTGTGCCACTTGGACTTGGAAGCCATCTGTCTGCCCTGAAACATCTTGAAGCAAAGCGGCTGGCTTTTTTGGAATTCTGGATTCACAGACCTCATCTTAATTGTTTGGACTTTAAGCTGAAATCCGATACTGTCGGCTATGGGCTGATGGAGCCTCAGCATGAGCTGTGCCCAACTAAAAGGAGGCAGACGGGACGGTGCCATCTGATGAACGGGCCGCAGGTTCAGGGACGTCGCAGTTTAGGACAGCACTCTGTGGGACCCTAAACTGTGTTAAGCAACAAACATTAAGTTGAGTAAATTGAAAGATCAAATTGGCTTTATTCAGTGATTCATGAATTAGGCAGCATCCCATACAGCAAGTAGAAAGCTCTGCCAGGTGTAAAAAGGAAAGGTTTTTAGAGGCAGAAAAGGGAGCAGAAAAGGAAATGATCAGCAGAGGGCGCCTTGTTTCCGGCAAGATCGCCTTCCAAGGGGAATGGAGGCGTTTATCAGGTGGACTATTGTACTGATATCAGGTGACCAGGCAATTTTATGTCACCTGATTTAAGCTTACATTCCTGGGGGGTCTGAAACGGCAGTTAGGTTAGGTATTAAGCCTTGATTTGCTGACAGGGAATTTAGTACAAATGACTCCATTTGGGGCTTGCTGTTTCTTTCTTAACTGAAAACATCATGAATGCTGGCTGGACTGACTCACAAGTGCCCACACAAAAGGACTTACTCTCTGCTAATACCAACAGCCGATCAGCTGTGTATTTCCGAGGCACAGACTGACCGTATGAATCCCGTAAAAGCTGGGAGTCGGGGAAGGCACCTGGCAAGGACTGTGACGCCCCCGCCCGATGGGCCTCCAGCCCAGCTCAGGGATGTCTCATGAAGTGCAGTTTGCCGCACGCACGGGGCTGCTAGCCTCGCCTGGCCCCCAGTACACACACTTGAGGATGGTACTTTGCTAACTGCAGCTGTTCTCAGAAAAAGATCTATCTTTCCAGGCTCCTCAGTGGTTAATAATCAGGACAAAATGGGTGAGAGGTTATGCAAACCCATTTGAAAACTGTTGAAAATGCAGGATTTTGGCATGATCATTTCCTGAACGTGGTGTGTCCTTCTGGGTAAGAGGTACAAGACGCTTTCTGTGAAATGCTTTGTCCAGACAAGGAGTTAGGTGAAAATAGGGGATGTAAAGTTTTGGTTACTACACGGGTCCTTTTGAAGCAGGCAGGGATTGAGCAAGAGGGACTCCATTTTGGAATCCATTTGGGATGTGCACCTAACCTGAAAACATACTCTCAGAATAGCACCTGATCAAGCACAAGTTTTAGGTTAACTTGACCTGTGATGACTTATTATTAACATTCTTTTTTTCTGAAAGCTTGTTCTAGGGCATCCAAAGAAACCTTTTGGCTAACAGGTTGTGAGATTACAAACTGATGTCTGTTAAACATCAACGTAGTGCTCCACCTGGAGACATATTGGTGTGAAAACAGCAAGGTCAATCATTGTCGCACCTCTGAACCTCCAGACCTTCAAAGACTGCCTTTACGAAGCCCACACCATCTCCTTTCCAGGGGGCCTGACCTCTCTCTTTCTGTCAGCTCCCTTGTATACACGCTATTGCTAATAAATTCTGCCTGCTTTCTTTCTTTTGAGTTCCATGTGCATTTCTGTAACTTTGAAACTCAAGAACCTGGTCTGTGGGGTTCAGACTTCCTGGGTCTCGGCCCCAGCTCCAATGTGTGTGTGCAGGGAGGGGGTTTTCCCACACAGGACGCCAAGCGGGTCTTGACTACCAGCAGGATGGCTGAAAACTCAGTTCCCTCACTCTCTGCCCGGAGACGGCCCCAGATTCCCCAGGGTAAGGGCTCTGTCCTACAAGGCTCCCTGCGGCCCCCCAACTCCAGACACCAGTTGCAAGGCCTGTGCTTCTGACCAACCAGCTACAGATTGGACATTCCCACGACCTCCCCCTTAGGTTCAATTAATTTGCGAGAGCAGCTCACAGAGCTCAGTAAAACACTTTTAGGGGTGTAATTAAGGACATTGTAAAGAATACAAGTTAGCAGCCAGATGAAGAGACAGTCAGGGCAAGTTTCCAAATAAAGGAGCTTCTGTGCTCCTGGAGCTCGGGGCCTGGCTCCCCAACTCTGGAAGTCGCCCCTCAATGCCCCCCAGCTCGACAAAGATGCAGGATGTAAGAGAGGGAGAGAGAGCAAAATGCTTTTCTTGGGGTTTTGTGGGGGCTGCTTGCATAGACTAAGTGTGGGCCATCGGCTGAGTCACCCCCAACCCCTCTGCCCTCTCGCCTCCTGGGGCTTGGGGCTGGGAGCTGAGAGTTCCTGCCCGCTGATGACATACTTGGTCCCCTGGCAGCCAGCCCCCTTGGGTGGGGCCCCAAAGACTGTCCAGTAACAAGACACCCGTTGGGCCTCTCTGGCTCTGAAGTGGTTTTGGGAAC